TTAAAGATTTGAACGTAAGAACTGAAACTATAAAAATCTTAGAAGAAAATATAGATAGCGCATTCTTCGACATTGGTCTTCGCCACATCTTTTAGAATACCATGTCTACTAGGGTAATGGAAGCAAAAGAAAAAGTTAACAAATGGGACTACATCAGACTAAAAAGCTTCTGCAAAGCAAAGGAAACTGTGAACAAAATGGAAAGACAACCCATCAACTGTTAGAAAATATTTGCAAATCATTTATCAGACAAGGGGTTGATCTCCAAAATATATAAAGAACTCACACAACTCAACAAAAAAACAACCAAAAACCTGATCAAAAGATGGTCAGAAGATAAGAACAGACATTTTTCCAAGGAAGATATACACATGGCCAACAGGCACACGAAAAGATGCTCAATACCACTAATTATTAGGGAAATACAAATAAAAATTACAAGATATCACCTTATACTAGTCAGAATGGCTATAATTACCAAGACAAAAAACAAGAAATGTTGGAGAGGATGTGGAGAAAAGGGAATGTTCATACACTGCTGGTGGGAATGCAAACTGGTGCAGCCACTATGGAAAGCAGTATGGAGATTCCTCAAAAAGCTAAAAATAGAAATACCATATGTCCCACTATTGGGTATCTACCCAAACTACTTGAAATTAGCAGTCCAAAGTAAAATATGTACCCGTATGTTCATTGCAGCATTATTCACAATAGCCAAGACATGGAAGCAATCCAAGCGCCCATTGACTGATGGTTAAAGAAGATGTGGTATATATCTATACAATGGGATACTACTCAGCCAGAAAAACACGAAGTCATCCCATTTGCAACAACATGAATGAATCTGTAGGGTATTGTGCTAAGCGAAATAAGCCAGACTGAGAAAGACAAACACCATATGATTTCACTAAAATGTGGAATATAAACAAAGACATGGACAAAGAAAACAGTCCAGTGGTTACCAGGGGAACTGGGGTGGGAGGTAAGCACAGGAGGTAAAGGGGAGCACTTGTGTGATGACAGACAAGAAATAATGTACAACTGAAATTTCACAATGATATGTAACTGTTATGAACTCAATAAAAAAAAGAAAAGAAAAAGACCCATAAAGTAGCATGTAATTGCTTCATACCATGAAAGTCCAGGCCCCCCATCATTATAATTCTTTTTGATTTAAATTATGACATGGCTTACCTTTGGACTAAGTGGTATTAGAGGAGAGTCTTGCATTGAGAAAATTCTGTAGTTAACATTTTAAATAATTATTTTTCTTAATTTTATTGTTACAGAAAGTTCAATATCTGATCCCCATGGCAATCTAAATAATGAGAACAAAGTCTTGGGAAAAAAAAGTTGCTTGCTCCCCATTAAGGAACGGATAGGGGTTTTTATTTGGGGTTTTAAGTCAGGGAGTGGGGCTGTGGCCTTCTTGGTCAGCATTTTCCCATTGGCCTGTGTCTAGGGCTGCTTCCAGCGAAGGAGACAAAGGATTTCTCAGATGAATGTCCTTGGCTGTTTATCTCCATGGTGGAGGGAGACTGATGTCAGGAAGCCAAGGAGTTGGGCCTGGGAAGCTTCGGTTTCTTGATATTCTCTGGACGTTAGTTTCTCTGTAAAAGAACGTCAAGGTCCTGTGATTAGCCACAACTTTAGTGGGAGCCCAGTGTGAGGTCATCTGGACTTTAACAATTTGTAACTTCTGCTTGACTCTATAGCTCAGGGAGTCGGAGGTTAAAGAAACAAGTATTTACATATGAGTGTAACTAAAGAACCAGGGACCTGGGAATATGTACTTTTAGTTTTGACCCATACATGCTGGGTTTACTGTAGGGGAACCAATATCAGGGCTGATATTAACTAAGAGCCAGTAACATTATCTTACTCCAGAGTTATTCAATCAATAGTCAATTTGTTAAATTCTGAGTTAGTGCCAGTGTGTGAAATAATCTAAAACTAGTAACATGCGCTATAGAATAGTTAGTAATTTAGCGCTAAATGGATTACTTTTCAGACTAAGTGTTAGAGGAGGTCAGAGAGGAAAAATACTGAGAGTTAGAAACGATGGGAAAGCTTTATTCAGGAAGCGGGATTGTAACTGGCCATAATTTTGGTGTTCTGAGAGGGAGAGAAGATAAGCTCAGAGAGTGGCTTCTCAACAAATGTGAATGGGGTCTGATTGCAACTGAACAGTTTATTGAAATCTGAAGTTGCAAAGCTCCGATGATGTTTTGGAGGTCTCTAGTCAAAGGTATTCTTTCCTAGTGGCCAAGGACAGAGGTTCACATTTACATATAGATGATAGCTCTACAATTTGTAGTTGTGTGAACTGGGGATTTGCTTAATTGCCATGTCCCACAGCTTCCCAATCTTGAAATTGAAGAAAATAATAGTATTTACCACATGGGAGGCTAAAAAGAGATAAAGAGATAATCTGAAAACAAATCCCAAAACAAAAAAGCAACGACAACAACAACAAAAATTTCCACTGTGCCTATGTAGTAAACCTCTTATTCACTACTCTTATTTCAGAATTTTGCTGATGATCTTTTTTTTTAAAGATTTTATTTTTTTTTCCTTTTTCTCCCCAAAGCCCCCCGGTACATATATATTCTTCGTTGTGGGTCCATCTAGTTGTGGCATGTGGGACGCTGCCTCAGCGTGGTTTGATGAGTAGTGCCATGTCCGCGCCCAGGATTCGAACCAACGAAACACTGGGCCGCCTGCAGCGGAGCGCGCGAACTTAACCACTCGGCCACGGGGCCAGCCCCCTGATGATCTTAATTATAGATGAAGAAGATATATGCCTTTTAGTGTATCTATTTTGACATAAATCCTGCCATTAAAAATGGGTCCCCATGGATTATGCCTAGACAATTCTTTATAATGTGTGTAATGGCAAATACACATAATGGAATGTATCATTCTCTTCCTTATATGCTTTATCAATTGATTTATTGGTCAAACATTTTCAATTTCTGCCATTTTTCACGGCCCCTTTTATGTGGTTAGTGAATATAAAATGGCTGAAACATGAAATAGCTGTGCTGCTGTCATTGGGGAACATGTTTAGTAGCATTATGCAAGAAGTATAATGGTATCTATATTTTAGTCATGTATACCGCATTTGTGTGTTTTTTGAAAACCATACAGCCATTTCCCACTATAGATGTCACTTAGCACTATGTTTTTCAGTGAACTCCTGAACTTATTCCTGCCTTGCAGCCATAGTCTTCCCCAATTTGGTTAGGAACTCCATCCAGTTGTTCAGGTCAGTTAAAACCTGGAGCCATTCTTAACTATTCTCCTTTATTTACATGCCCTATCTGAACTGTCAAAAAAAAAAAAATCTGGTTGACTGTACCTTCAATATAGCTACAGTATTCGTTCATCTCCCTCCATTTCCACTCCACCCACCATGATCCTGGCCATCATCTCTCATCTGGATTACTGCAATAGTCTCATAACATGTCACCCTGTTCCTACCCCTGACTCCCTATAGTCTGCTTCAATAGCCACAAAAGGGATCTGTTTAAACCCAAGATTATACAGATATTCCTTTTAAACTCCACAAATGGCCCTTCTTTCTGCTCAATAAAAAAGAAGTGCTTTGAGGCCCTACTTGCTTTCGTCCTCCATTACAACTTTGGTTCCTGTTGTAAATCAAAGTTGTACATCCCATGGATGGTTCAGTCCATTCCAGCCCTACAGGCTTCCTTACTGTCCTTCAAACATAGTACAGTCATGCGCTGAATAATGAAGTTTCGATCAACAACAGACTGTATGTATCATGGTGGTCCCATAAGATTAGTAGCATATAGCTTAGGTGTAGTAGGCTATACCATCTAGGTTTGTGTGGGTGCCCTCTATGATGTTCACACAAGGACAAAATTGCCTAGCAACACATATCTCCGAACGTATCCCTATCCTTAAGGGATACGCCATCATGTTCACACTTAATAGCAAGTTCTCAAGTTTTCTCCTTTACCTGGACTGCTCTTCCCATAGCTGTACACATCTGATGTCTTCACCTCTTCAAGCTAAATTCTCACTTTTTAAATGGGGCCTACCTTTGTCACCCCTTGCCACTTTATTTAATTCCTCAACCTATTTCCAAGTCACTTCCCCAACTCATCATTATTGATTTCAAACCTGCTCCACTTCTGCTTTTTCTTCTCATTACATTTATTTGATCTATCTATAAAATTTTGTTGTCTTTTTTTAATAGATTAAGCAGAACTCTAAAATAGTTCCTGGCACATAATAAGCATTAAAAAATATTTTGTGAGTGAATGAATTACAATTATGATTCTGCGATGATTGTTGGCAAGCAGACGTATAAAATGCTCTGGGAGTATCTAAAAGAAAAACCTCACTAAGTCTGTCAAGTCAGGAAAGGCTGACTAAAGAAAATAGTGTTTAAGCAGAAGTCTGAAGGAAAAGTAGGAATTAGTTACACTTGGGGGCCAAGTATAGAAAACAGAAAGGCACGTTTCTTGGTTCTAAGGCAGGAAGAAGGACGAGCTGTTTGAGGAATTTAAGGAAAGGCATAATGGCTGGTGCTAAGAGAGTGGCGAGTGACTGGTGATGTGGCTGAAAATTTAACTGAAAACTTCCCCTCGGGTTCTCCTATTTTGAGAAGATGCACCTTTTATTTAGCGTGCTCAATTAAAAGAGACTAGGAATCAGTCAACTATAATGTTGCAGAGACTTCTAATTAGTTTTTGTTTCTGAACAACTCAGTGCATATATCAGGATCTCAACCTGGATTGTCTGCAAGAGGGGGAGGCGCTTCTATGAGATTGTTCAGTGGTTCATATGAAAGCAAGAGAATGATGTGGACAAATGTAGGGTTTCTAGAGATAGAGAGAAATGAGTAGATGATAGGTGTTTAGAAATAGAAACTGCAGGGCTTAGAGACTGACTGGATTGTACCGGTTGGTCTCACTTACGGAATGTTGAGCATTAGAGATTCTACTTCCAGAATGTTTTCCTCAGCTTCACTGATGGATAAATTCTTTTGTTCTATCCTCCTAGGAAAGGTGTAGCTTGAAATATGAGAGGTTAGATAAAGTGGAGTTTAAGAGTACAGGCTTTCAGAAGACTGGACCCTGATACTGTATTTGCCGCGCACAGATGACCTTGATGAGGTTATTTCTCCTCTATAAGCTTCCATTTCATTATCACTGAAATGAATATGCTAAGTCCCTCATGAGATTGTTGTGATTATTAATTTAGCTGTTGTATATGAATTATGTAAATTCATGCTAGCCACTTAGTTAATGTAGAAGAGATAGAAACTATTACTGTTAATAAGAATTTACATAGCTTCCTTGACATTAAGTCATAAATTTCTAGGATGCGTGAAGGCCATCTTATTTATTTAAACCCAGCATGATGTCAGAATGTTCCCTTGCCTATAAGGGGCTTAAATTTGTGTGAAGTTGAATGAAGTATAAATGAATGAGGACTAGTGATGTTGAGAAGACTTAGGCAGTAAGTCTCAACTTTCTCAACACTGCCTTCCACGGTCTTCTTAGTTCACTATTCTCTCTGACCTCAGGGAGCTTTCCATCAGTGACCAGTAATTCCCTTTATGACCATTTCCTGTACATGGCCTTTCAAGTATATTTAATACAGATCTGTCTTCAGAATATTCATGCAAAGTTATTAATAGCTAGCAATGTTCATTTGCAGTTTATTGGGGAGATAATTTAAATAAATACGTTTTAAGTCAGATGCCTGCCTCATATTGGATATTCTGGGGCATGATCTTTTTTTAATGTGTCTCAAATATGAGATGGAGGTAGCAATCTCTCTCCTACTCCCAGGTATCCCATGTATTAGCTGCCTCCTCATTTTAACTTACACTCGTATATGAATTTGGAAAAGATTTCAAAAGGTCCAATCCCCTGCTTTCAGGAAGATAGGATAAATTTTACCCCATTTTTTATTTTAAATAACTTGAGTCCCAACAATATTAAGTAACTTGCCCATAGTCAGACAGGTAGTAAGGGACTGGGTGACTTGTACCATGTCTTCTGCCTTTTGTTTACAGTACCACATAGAGCTTTCCATCTGATACTGAGGCTGAACAAACCCAACAATGGACCCCTCTATAGCATTAGGAAAATGTTTCTGTGGTACCCATAGCCAATCTAATAGTGAAAGTTATTAAGCAGAGGGACTTGCCCATCAATATGGGTCTCTTTGAATAAGAAGCCCAACAAGGATTTCTCACAGGCGCTAGTGCAGTCTCAAAAGCCATTGGCTTTTATTTTTTCTTTTTAATATCTGATTACAAAACTTTGAAATATAAAGTTTCAGCAAGAAAACCCTGACATAGCCTTAACTACTGTAAAACTAGCAGGCAAAGCTATAAGAAATTCAGTTTATAATATAATCTGAAATTGAATTACTCTGATTTCACGGCAAAGTCAATATTGCTAATGGATTAGAAACGTGGCTGATAAAAGTATTGTTGAGTTCATATTTGGGGAATCACATGAAAAAATTGATTTCTCTTGTGGTCTGTGGCATTTGAGACTTGGCACTGATCTGAAAAGAAACTTCATGGTATGGACCACTTAAACAAGTAAATACTTGAAGGTCAAGATAAATAAGGCAAAAAGTGGTTCTGATAAAGCGTTTATGATTTTTTTCTGGCACACTCCATTCTATTACTAACTACTATTGGGAGACTGGGGCCAACTGTGAAAGGCCTGATCTAACAATGTGACATCATGGCAAGAGGCTGTCCATGAAGCAGCAGTTCTGTGATTTCTGCAAGCATATTCTAGGGGTCTGTCAGTTGAGCAATGGATTGAGAATCCTAGATAAGAGATTAATCTACATCTCTTTCCAGTTCTGTAAATTTGGGCAAATTATCTTCTCTCTAGGTTTTCTTTATCTAACAAATAAGGGGATGGTCTACAAAAATGTGACTATTTTATGCTTCTGTGATTCTGTAATATCCAGTAAAGATACCACGTTCTTCTCAATTAAAATGTTCCGAAATTGCAGATGTTTATAATTAGTTTGTTGAGGCCTGCTTTATTACTGGATATAGCTTCTTTGCTCCAAAGACAAAATTACTCCGTTTTCCCCTATCAAAAAGCATAAATACCTTAAAGGTTAAAACTGAATTTCTGAGAGACTAGAGGTGCCCTATAGCTTCAATTAACTAGGGACTAGTGTTAAATGTTTTCTTTAGGGAACCAGCTCTATCTACATCATACCTAAATCTATCTTCTGAAAGCATGGAATTCAAACCTTCTATTTGACACATCTAATTTTTAATAATTTCACATTAATCAAAAGAAAAAATCTCAGGCCATAAGTAAGCCATACACAGCATCTATACTTAGTGGTAAGAGCTTTAAATGAGGGTTAAAACTCTTCAGTTTATTTCCTAGTTCTAAGTATCTTCTGTGCCACGCTTCTCTCTATATAAATGTTTTCCATCTTTCAAAACTTGTATAAAATCCCACCTGCCAGAATGTGATAATCTTACTCAAAATTTATAGCTTGAATGCAGTCATGATGAAACAATCAGAGTTACACATACACACAAGCCTGTACTCTTTAAAACTGACAATCTATGAAAGAGAAAAGAATTACTGAAAACTGTTCCAAATTGAAAGAGACTATAAAGATGTGAAAACTAAATGAAATGTATGATCCTTGATTGGATCCTGGCTGAAAAAAATCCAATTAAAGACAGAACTGGAACAATTTGTGAAGGTTCAAAATGGACTATGTATTAGGTAATAGTATTATATTAATGCTGAATTTTCTGGATTTCCTATCTGTGCTGTGTTCCTGTGGGAGTATATCCTGTTTGAGGTAGATATGTGCTCAAGCACTTAGGTTGAAGGGTTATGACATCTGCAACTTACTCTCAGAAGTCCAGCAAAGTATTAAGACTTCTAAGATGAAAAAGAAGAAGGATATGCCAAAAGGTTAAGTTGGTGAACCTAGGTCCTAGGTAAGAGGTATTCAGGATATCATTACACTGATTTCAACAAATGTTTGCAGATTTGAGATATTTTTCCAAGTATTTTAAAGACAACTGTTTCACAACAGTTTTTTATTTCTTTAAATCTCTCTCATTAGAATATGAATGTTTCTTCCTTTAAAAGCTATGGCCTTTTTAATGTATTTCACCTTCACAATTGAACTTGAATATTTGTATACATAAAATATATTTGTGTTCATGTTATGAGCGCACTAGTGAAACATGAGGGCCTTTAGGACTGTGCTCATTTTTATGTCCGTTGCAATATTTGATAGAATATTTGCATATAACCTGTATTCAACTCAATAATAAATTAGTCAAATGATTCATTCAATTCAAGAATATTGAAGTGTACTATATGCCAGCTGCAACCTAGTTTTGGAGATTGTGTTAATGCCCTGCATAAACCTTCCAGAGATTTCCATGGCACTTTAAAAGTGCTTTAAGCATCTTCCACCCATATTTTTAATTTTTGTCCATCTCTGAGCTTACTATACCTCTCTCTCCCCCACTAACTATACCTCAGCTATATGTATCATATATCTATTTATAAACAAATACTTTCTTTCATATTCTTTTCTTCCTGATCTTTAAGTAGTTTGAGGAAGAGCTGGGACAGGACACCCAGGTATACCTGGGAGGCCGAAGGAGAGTGGGTATTGATCAGAGAAGTCATTCTGGAGGACCAAATACCAAAATCTGTCCTTTAAAAACACTGGGGGAGAATATACACAAAGTCAGGGGTATGGTGTTTTCAGGAACTTAGACTAATTGAGTGTGGCAGAAACATACACAGTACGCATGGAAGCATGAGAGCTGACATAGCTGAGATGAACACATATCAGTTCATGAAGAATATCATGTATCATGTTAAAGGATTTTTAATTTATCTTGAATGTTATGAGGATAGTTTGAAAGAATTTAAGCAGGGGATTACACAATAAGAACTGAAGTTTAAGACAAACATTCTGAGTGGCAGGGTAAAAATAAAACAAAAATCAAGATAGGGAGATGACTTAGAAGGGTTCATTCTTAATCCCATTGAGAAATTAAGGGTGCTATCCAATGGTCATGAGGATGCTGAGGAGGGAGGGGAGGGGGTAGAATTGAAAGGTATCAAAGAAATGGACTTGATAGAATTTATTGATTTAGTGGAGAAATAAAGGGCAGGGCAAAGCAAATACAAACATGATTCCTAATTTTTCTGGTTTCGGAAAAAATTCAGTGTAGTACCATTTATTGAGAGAAAAAAATTACTGAAATAATACAGAGGAAGGAAGTTCTGATACTGCAAAATGACTAGCTATTTTAAGCCAACTCACCTGCTAAGAACAACTAGAAAATCTAATATTTTAAGGCATCACACATTCATCAAGGAAGCTAGGATTTGTAGTGTCAAGACCTGAAAAAGTAGAAAATTCTGAGGATTGAGACTATGCATTGATGTGGATGTGCCCTTGATCTGTGAGAAAGCAGTGGTTGAAATATAAAGAAGCTGAGGGAAGAAAAGCTAGAGCTGAGAATTACAGAAATGAAGCCGAACTCTTAGAGGAATTATGGATCTTGGGGAATAAAAAATGAATTCAGGGGGCTGGCCTGGCGGCACAGCAGTTAAGTTTACATGTTCTGCCTTGGGAGCCCAGGATTTGCTGGTTCCGATCCCGGGCACAGACCTACACACTGCTTAACAAGCCATGCTGTGGCAGGCATTCCACATATAAAGTAGAGGAAGATGGGCATGGATGTTAGCTCAGGGCTAATCTTCCTCAAAAAAAAAAAAAAAATGAATTCAAGACCTGCCAGAGAAGAAGTTCCCTGGTGAAAATGTCAGGCATTCACCAAGCACCCAAAAGGGCTGCAGCCTAGGAGTAAATTTGGACTGAAAATAGACCACACAAAGACTGAATCCCAGTTTTGAATCATTTCAGCCTTAATTATACAAAGGAGCTGCATCCTTAATCTGAAAGACAAAAACCAAGAGTATATCCTTCTCTAGATCATCCAGAGCTTTAAATCCCTATGCATTTTCTATAGCATTCAGCAATCATTTGATAACAACTAAGATTAAGAATGGATAAGAACTGACCAAAATAAAAAGGAAAGGGTTAGGGTTAGGGTTAGGGTTAGGGTTAG